GTAGATTGTGAATATTAGCCCTTTGTCAGATGGATAGATTGCAAAAATTTTCTCCCATCCTGTAGGATGCCTGTTCACTCTGATGACAGTTTTTTTTGCGGTGTAGAAGCTCTTTAATTAAGTCCTGTTTGTCAATCTTGGCTTTTGTTGCCACTGCTTTTGGTGGTTTAGTCATGAAGTCTTTGCCCAAACCTATGTCCTCAATGGTATTGCCTAGGTTTTCTTCTAGGGTTTTTATGGTTTTAAGTCTTACGTTTAAGCCTTTAATCCATCTTAATTCTTGTATAAGGTGTAAGGAAGGGGTCCAGTTTCAGTTTTCTGCATATGGCTAGCCAGTTTTTCCAACACCGTTAATTTTTTCCTATTTTTTTAAGCAACATAATCTTTTTCCTAGATGGCATCCTACCCAGAACTTCAGCATGTAAGACAGAAAAAAGCAGACCTTCTTTGTTTGGAAAGGAGTGGTGCCTAAAGCCAGGATCCACAGTTTTCACATTGAGAAAATATATGACGGGCTCTTGAAACCAGTATTTTCTTTCAAATTACAGCACATTCAAATTTTACTTATGCAGTTTGTTTTGCCAATAAAAATTCAGTTTTGTAGAAACCATTTATCACACAAGGAGTTTCTGATGGAAAAATCTGAAAACTTTTAGAAATCAAAAAAGTGAAATACATTTGAAAATATTACAAGTTTGAAATGAATGTTGGTTTTGTGGTGACACAATCTCTGAAAATTATTACTGTTCATTCAAGATGGAATGAGGAAAATAGTGTGTGCCTGAAATCCACAGTTGAATATATCTTTTTTTTTCCCTTTTTTGAGACAAGGTCTTGCTCTGTTGCCCAGACTAGAGTACCGTAACACCATTGAAACTGACCCAGTAGTTCCATAGACAGTTTTTTTCTTGGAAAAACAAATAAATTGTTCCTTCTGGTCTTAAAGCTTGAAACTTACATTTGTTTTATCTGAGCTTCCTCCTCAGGAAAGGACCCCCAGGTCTGGCAAAGAGTATCTAAGAACTGAAACTTACCAGATCATTGGATCCAGACAATGAGATGCCAAGCCCTCATTCATCATGATTGCTTCCTCCCTAGTTCCCGCTTTCTTACACATTATTACACTTCTTCCCTGCTACATAAACCCCTAATTTTAGTGGTCCGGGAGATGGATTTAAAACTGATCTCCCATCTGCTTGGCTGCAACACCTGATGAAAGCCTTCTTCCTTGGCAGTAGTTGTTGTCTAGTGATTAGCTTTCTGGGAGGTGAGCAGCAGGACCTAGACTGAGCCCCTGGGATGTTGGGGACATGATCATGGCTCACTGCAGCTTTGAACTCCTGGGCTCAACAAATCCTCCCATCTAAGCCTCCCAAGTAGCTGAGACCACAGGCCCGAGCCACCATGCCCAGCTAATTTTTGTATTTTTTTGTAGAGACAGGGTCTGCCTGTGTTGCTCAGGCTGGTCTTGAACTCCTGGGCTCAAGCAATCCTCCTACCTTGGTCTCCCAAGTGCTGGGATTATACATGTGAACCACCACACACACCTGGCCTGGCTTTTTTTTTTAAAGTAAGCTGTGTATGTGTGTGGGTGTTTTTGGTAAAAGAACATTAATTAACTTTATTTTTGGAAATAGAAATTGGAGAGAAAGTTAAAGGGGAATAAATATTTTGACTCAGAATTCAAAAATAGAAGTAAAAAGATTGAATTGATTTAGAGCGTTATAAATGTGTAAAGCGATAGGCTGAGGGGGCAGTAAAGACTGGCAGGTGCTGTGGCTCACACCTGTAATCCCAACATCTTGGGAGGCTGAGGCGGGAGGATCATTTAAGGCCAGAAGTTTGAAGCCAGCCTGGGCAACATAATGAGACCCTGTCTCTACAAAAAAATTTAAAAAAATCATGCAGGCATGGTGGTGCGTACCTGTGGTGTCAGCTACTCAGGTGGCTGAGGCAGGAAGATCACTTGAGCCGAGAAGTTCAAGGCTGCAGTGAGCTGTGATTGTGCCACTGCACTCCAGCCTGGGTGACAGGGAAAGACCCTGACTCTAAAAAAATAATTATAATAAAATTAACAACTGAAGAAATCCTTGCATTTCATTAATGTTTCAGAGACAATTGGGAAATGTATAGTGTCAATTTTTTAAAATGACAGGTTGCTCTTATTTAGAATCCTTCAAAATCTTCCTATTGCTCTTAGAATAAAATGCAAACCCCTTATTCTGGTCCCTCCCACCTGTCCGCCACATCCCTGTCCTCTTTCTGTCACACAGCTCTGAAGTCAGTCATTTTTTGTCGGTACCCAGAATACTGCCGGACCCTCGTTTCCCAGGCCTCGGTCCCCACTTGTTCCTCTTCTTGGGTGCAGCTGGTATCTGTGGAGGGTTGAATTGCGTTCTCCTCCTGCAAATTCATATGCGGAAGTCCTAACTCCCAGTACCTCAGAACATGGCCTAATTTGGAAAGAGGGTAGTTGGAGATAGAATTAGTTAAAATGAGGTCATAGGGGAGTAGGGTGGGCTTCTTATCCAATATGATCAATGTAAGTGTCCTTATAAAAAAAGACAATGTAGACACAAACACGTGCAGAAAGAACACTACATAACCATCAAGACCGAGCTGGGGTGCTGCATCTACAAGCCAAAGAGTGCCCAAGCTTGCTGGCAAACCACCAGGAGCCAGGAGGTGTGGAAATCTCCTGGAGCCTTGAGAAGGAACCAACTCTGTGGATGCGTTGTTCTCAGACGTCCAGCCTCCTTAAGTATAAGACAATAAATTCGGTTCTTCAGGCCACTCAGCTGTGGGACTTTCTTATGGCAGCCTTGGCACACTAATACAGGACCATCTCATTCTCCACGTCCTGGCTCAAATCTCATTTCCTCAGAGCAAGCTTCTTGACCACCTAGCTGGCACAGTATTTTCTACAAAGCTACTGTTGTTTTCCTTCAGAGCACTGAGACAAACCTGTAACTATTGTGTTGGCTTGCTTATTTGCCTGTTGCCTTCACCTTCACTGGAGCATCGGGGCATGTGCACAGCTCCCAGAGTGCCGGGAACATCCCAGAGCTTAATAAACACGGAGGGGGCCGGGCGCGGTGGCTCACGCCTGTAATCCCAGCACTTTGGGAGGCCGAGGCGGGTGGATCACAAGGTCAAGAGATCGAGACCATCCTGGTCAACATGGTGAAACCCCGTCTCTACTAAAAATACAAAAAAATTAGCTGTGCATGGTGGCGTGTGCCTGTAATCCCAGCTACTCAGGAGGCTGAGGCAGGAGAATTGCCTGAACCCAGGAGGCGGAGGTTGCGGTGAGCCGAGATCGCGCCATTGCACTCCAGCCTGGGTAACAAGAGCGAAACTCCGTCTCAAAAAAAAAAAAAAAAAAAGCACGGAGGGTAAATGACGCCAAGCTGTATCAAAGGTTAGGCAGACTGCACCAACAGCTGATATGTGAATTGCCATGCACATTTTGTATTTAGCAGAGATAAAGTTTTTTAAGGAAGTAAGAACATTTTAAAATACTCTCAATCCTTTGTTTTGTGACACTCTTCTGTCTTTCTCATTGGCAAATTTCCAAAATTTTCAAATCGAATTAAGGTGTACTATTCAGAATACTACGAAGTTTTGGAAGGAAGAGAACACACTGAACATCATCACGCTTCATAAGCTGTGACTGAAGGCTTACAGAGAAACAGTGAAATTTGTAGCAAATGAGCAAAGAGCCTCAATAGACATTTTCCATACAAGACATATCAATGGCCAACAGGTGTATGCAAAAGTGCTCAACATCATGAATCATCAGAGAAATTCAAATCCAAATCACAATGAGGTATACGTCCCACCTGTTAGAAGGGCTAAAAAAGGGAAGCTTTGCACGCTTGGTGGGAATATAGATTGTTGTAACCATTATGGAAAACAGTGTGGAGGTTCCTCAAAAAATTAAAACGGAATTACCATTTGAATGAAACTAGCAAATGGAACCATGTGATCCAGGAATCCCACTTCTGAGTACATATCGAAAGGAAATGAAATCAACATTGTGAGATATCTGGTCCTTTTTGTTCACTGCAGCGTTATTTCCAACAGCCAAGATATGGAAGCAACCTAAGTGTCCACCAATAGATAAATAGATAAAAAAAATTGTGGTACCTATATACAATGGACTATTATTCAGCCATAAAAAGAGAAGGAAATCCTATAATTTGCAACAACATGGATGAACCTGGAAGATGTTATGCTAAGTAAAATAAGCCAGACACGGAAAGACAAATATTGTAGGGTTTCACTTCTATGTGGAATCTAAAAATGTTAGACTTACAGACAGAAAGTAAAATGGTGGTTGCCAGGGATTGGAAGTGGAATGGAGAGATGTTAGTCAAAAGATACAGAACTTTTAGTTAGATCCCAGAACTTACTGATATTATATAACGCACAGCAGGGGTGGTGGTGGATGTTTTAATTCATTTGTGGTAATTGTTACACAACATATGTATATCAAATGATCATGTTGTTTACTTTGAATATGTTTAATCTTTATTTGACAATTATTTTTACTTAAAAAATGTATGTATGTATGTATGTATGTATGTATGTATTTCTAGACAGGGCATCCTCTGTCACCCAGGCTGGAGTGCAGTGGCATGATTGTAGCTCACTGCAGACTTGAACACCTGGTCTCAAGGGAACCTCCTGCCTCAGCCTTTCAAGTGGCTAGGACTATGGGTGCATGCTACCACACCCTCCTAATTTTCTTTTTTTGTAGAGACAGAGTCTCTCTATACTTTCCAGGCTAGTTTTGAAATCCTGTCCTAAAGTGATCCTCCTGCCTTGACCTCCCAAAGCTCTGAGATTACAGAAATGAACCACCATGCCTGGCCGACAATTAAATATTGAAAAATAAGAAAACAAATATAAACACTATTAAAAATTTCTTCAAATATACAGATGACCAGTGAACCAGGGAGTCTCCTAAATTCAGGTTACAAATTTGAAATGTATTCTTTAAAATATCTTCAATACCCGAACCTATTACAATAACTGCTTCTACAGAACTTCAAGGCAAAGCTATAGATGCTGTGTCCACCCATCTTTAAAGGTAAAAGGACTATTTTATAGTTTGTCACCATAGAGAAATAATGAATATTTCAGAATATTTATTTCACAGCTATTTGGGAAATTATGCCAAAAAACACTTCATGAAGTTTTCAAAGTTGAAAGCCTTCCCTTGGGAAAGGAAGAACTCTCTCTCTCTCTCTTTCTCTCTCTCTCACACACACACACACACACACACACAGGGAGAGAGAGAGAGAGAGAGAGAAATCTACGCAATTTTAGAGAATGTGTTTTCCCTTCAGAACAGGACAGAAGGAATATTACTAAAAGCTGGGCAATATATTATTACTCAATGTAAACTCATGATTTTCAGAAAATAGTTGCAACAAAATGACCCCCACTTCCCAGTCTGTTGTAAAATGGAAGTAGCCATTACATAAAATAATAGTCAAGCATCCTCAAGAATTTTCCAGCTTGAGGCCAGTGACCCTGAACTTTGACGGCTTTTCAATCCCATCACAGCTCTATCGTCACAACTAAAATGGAGCTTGACTCTGTGTTTATTCAACTTGGACTTCGCAATCATGTTCTTCACAACATAGGGCTATTATCTGTGGCTTTTGTATTGGCAACTGCTCTCACAAGCGCAGAACCTTCCTTTTCCATGCCTTTATAACCTCCTGAATTGCAGCACCTTGGAGGGGAGCCCTGGCGGCCAAGACAGAAGCGGTCCCAGTGATCCTGGCGAGAAAACTGAGTATCTGCTTGCAGACCTGAGCCTCATGATGGAATCATAGCTGTATATACTTAGGCTTTCATTTATATGCCTTTATGTTATGCTTCCCTAAGTTGAATGTACAGGCCTACAGGCTGTGATTACAGGTGGAGATGATGTCGGTGCCATTACTGGGATGCCAGAGAGGAAATGAACATGTCAACCTACCAGACTGTAAGAAAACGTCTTAGAAGGCTGGGACTTGCATTCATTTGCTTCGCTGCTATATCCCAGTGCTGGGAAATGTTCCTGAGCACTCAACAAATGCTAATTGAATGATTATTTTATGAAACGTTTTTTCAATTTTGGGAAACTAAATAGAAAACCCATTTGAAAGGGGGTCACCTTTGAATGTGTCTTTATATTTCTTCCTTAGTTAAGATCCACTCAGGGAGCACTACTATGCTCAAGTAATATTGTCCTTACCCGACTCTCCTGAAAAAAATGAGTCCTGATGCAGCCAGGCAGATCTTTGAGGATGTTCCATTGCACAGGTGAAATACAAACATGCTTCACCCAGGAGATCTTCACACAGGAGATGACTCTAGCTTCACTCCACAAGACCCTGCAACTTTCTTCACATCAGACTGAAGTGTTGGGTCAGATTTCCTCGGTATGGCAAAGGTTACTTTTTTCTCACAGGCTTCCAAAAAGGCTATAGTTTCCACAGAGATTTATTACTGTATGCGTCTTATCAAAGGGCTAAGAAATACTTCTTGACTGTGTATATCAGTACCATGTAGCTGTTTTGGTTCATCTGTACATTTCTGGTTTGTAGTGACATGTCATCAAGGGCCTAAGAACAGAAATACATTCTATGTTCTATGAGTTTAGGGGCCTGGAAAATTGGAAGTAACATCCACGCTTCAGGGAGGCCCAGAGACTCAGGAAAAGGGGGAGTCTGTGAGTCCTTCCAGTTTCCCAGATAGTCAATGAAGTGACCAGTGCAAGGTTGTGGAAAAGATGGCATCTCTCAATTGGGACATGTATAATTTGTTGCACCTGAGGTATGTAGAGGAGTTAATGTGTCCAGAGCTCAGAAGTTACAGATTTTGGAGTCATCACCGAATAGTGATATTTGAAGCTCTGGGCGTGGAGGAGAGCACCCAAAGATAAAGCATGCAGAATGAGAAAATAAGAGGGTTGAGGACAGAATGCCTGGAAACACCGTAATTTAGGGGGCTGGCAGCAGACGAGGAGCCAGCCAAGCGCTAGAATAGGACAGCAGGCTGTCACATGGGCATTGCAGAGAGCAGGCAGCACAGTCAGCATTTTTAAATCCTACAGAGAAGGAGGAGACAAGGATTGGAAATGGTCCTTTAGAAAGATCACTAGAGGGAAATACATTAAAACATCCACAGGTCTATTCCTGACCGGTGAGATGTCAGGTGGCTTATTTTCTTCTTTCACCGTTCTTGCATTTTCTAAATTTCCCTACAAAAAAGTTAGTTACATTTATATTAAAAAGCTGATAAAATATAAAACAAAGGCTCTGATCAAGTCTAAAGTATTTTATGGGAGCTTGATGAAAAGAGCAAGTTATTTTTATTAATTCACAAGTACTGCAGTGCCTGTGTGCTGGGCACCATGCTAAGGATGAAACAATGCACAAGGGGACGGCTCTGTTGTTTGACAAAAAGGAATGGAGGCTGGTTTGCCAAGGGAGGGATGCAGGGCTTGTGGGCACAATGGCAGGAGATGAGGCTGGAAAGGTCATTTGGTGCCAGATTACAATGGACTTTATGTGTCTTATCAAATAATATGGCCTTTATTATGAACGCTACAGAGAGGCTTTTGAGTGGGCAGTGTTAGGATTAGAAATGTGCTTTACCTGAAGTTAATTTTCTACCGGATTTTGGCAGTAGTGTGGCTGCTGGCCTGGGGGGGTGCTGAAGCAGGAGACTGGATCACAGTCCGCCGGCAATGCAGTAACTGAATGAAGGCAGGGCTCTGAGCGCCGGCCAGGCCGAGATGTTTAGGGGTAGCATCAATAGATTCGACTGATTAGATGTATGCTGCACGAAGTAGGACGTTGAAAGTAAGGAATGATAAACTTCTTCCTGCTTATCGAAGACCGTAATTAGGGCAATGCCCTTTCCGGAAACACGTTCCTTGGGAAGTCAAGTGTGAGCTTCACAATAGTTTGGAAGCTATCTGCACCCAGCCAGTGTTTCCAGTGAGCCTCACGCACGGCGACAGGTGGTCAGGATGCAGGACACAGGTTGGTGGACCCAGCCCTGTCTGACTCCCCTGAAAACATACAACAGAGGCATCTGCCTTTCATAAACACAAGGAGGATAGTGCTGGGGGTCCGGCTAGACCTCGTTATCTCTCTCACCCCTGGGGCCTGTGCACAGAGGCTGCTGGCAGGAGAGTGGAGTCCCACATGTGCAGTGAAAGAGAAGTTCAAAGTGACACCTTGCATTTGTCCCTTCTCCATTCCTCTCTATCTGCTCCAGAAAAAATAAAGGAAGATGATTGTTTTGGTACAGGAAAAAAAAAAAAAAAGAATGAATACTAGGTTTTTAACTCGTGTCTCTGGGTTGGGTAAAGAATGACAGCTATTCTATAGTTTGTACGGAATTTCCCTTAATGGTCATTGCTATATGACATAAGAGAGTGAGTGGCTGGACCAAGCACTGGTGCAGGCCTATAGTCCCAGCTACTTGGGAGGCAGGAGGATCGCTTGAGGCCAGGAGTTCAAGGTGACAGTGAGCTACCATAGCACAGCCTGCGTGACAGAGCAAGGCCCTGTCTCTTTAAAAAAAAAAAAAAAAAGTATTATAATAGAAGGGATAAGAAATAATATGTATGTGAGGTTTATTTCTGAGACCAGAGCCACAAAACAGAATCCTGAACTCTTAGCTATTTCCTTACCACACACATTTACTTGGGTACTTTCATTTTTTCAGTCTATATAATTCAATACTTCTGTGACAGAGAGGTGTTGGAGTTATTTTTTTGGCAGCTGTTTACATACAAACAGCTATGGTCTCCCAGGAAAGAACTTTCCCTGTTGAGTACAGAGGTCTGGGAAAAGACTGATGAAATTGCATGTGAGGAAGAAGCAAGTCTAACTAAATCTGAATCTAACCTTTTTTTTTTTTTTGAGATGGAGTCTTACTCTGTCGCCCAGGCTGGAGTGCAATGGCATGATCTCGTCTCACCACAACCTCCGCCTCCCGGGTTCAAGTGATTCTCCTGCCTCAGCCTCCCAAGTGGCTGGAATTACAGGCCTGTGCCACCACGCCCAGCTAAGTTTGCATTTTTAGAAGAGACGGGATTTCTCCATGTTGGTCAGGCTGGTCTTGAACTCCCATGCTCAGGTAATTCACCCGTCTCAGCCTCCCAAAGTACTGGGATTACAGGCGAGAGCCACCGCACCCAGCTGTCAATCTATACTTTTTTTTTTTTTTTTTTTTTTAACGGGGTCTTACTCTGTCACCAAGGCTGCAGTGCAATGGCCTGATCTCGGTTCACCGCAACCTCCGCCTCCCAGGTTCAAGCGATTCTCCTTACTCAGCCTCCTGAGTAGCTGGGATTACAGGCATGTGCCACCGCACCTGGCTAATTTTTATATTTTTAGTAGGGATGGGGTTTCACCATGTTGGCCAGGCTGGTCTCGAACCCCTGACCTCGTGATCCACCCTCCTCCCAAAGTGCTGGGATTACAGGAGCGAGCCACCGCGACCGGATGGCAAGGGACCACAAAGGGGTAGGTCCCAAGGAAGCTGCATTGCTTACTGCACCTGTCATGCGGGCTGTACAGTCTTCTTTCATTTATTTCCATTAACAGAGTTGAAAACTGAGGCCTTAGGCTTTGGTTGAAAACCGACGCCAAGGGTGCCCAGCTATGAGTTAAGGAGGCCCAAGCCGAATTTGGCTGGAAGTGCTCCGGTATAAGCCTCTCTTCAGAACCAGCCGCCACCAAGACGTCTTTAAGTCGAAGCAACTCACACCCTCGTCCGCCTCGCCCTGCAGTAAAGAAACTTCGTCGTACGGGCTCCATAACTCGTCTTGGCGTGGGCTGTGACTTACTGGGGAATGGGCCTCCTTCTCGTTCTAGCTCCTAAACGGAGAGGAGCGCAGCGCCAGGTGGTGTCAGAGAGGGCGGCGGCCCCTCCAATGGTGGCACCCCCTCCAGTGGTGGCACCCTCAGCCGCGGATAGCGTTCCAATTCAGTAAGGACACCACTAATGCTGTCCTTTCGGTGGACGGCTCCTTTTATTCCTTGGAGGTGGTCAGTGGGACAAAACCAGTTTTCATCCTAAACACTTACACCAGCCCTGCTAACCGGATGGTCAGAGCCCCCTGCCTTCGCCGGATGCCCTCCGGGAACCTTCAGGCCACCCTGAGGATGGAGAGTCGGGTGTCCACGTTCCTGCCCCGCGCCGCGGGCCTGCGCCCCCCGCCCCGGACCCCGACTCGGGCGTTCTAGAGGCGCGTGCGGGCACCCCTGGGTGCGAGCCACGGACTCACGAACCGCCGCTTGTTGCTCCTGCAGCCGCGACCTGGGGAAGCGAAAATGAAATTGACTTTTCCGAGAAATGATGAAAGCGGCGCTGCCCGCCAATGAACGGCGGCGGCGAACTTCCGCACCTCCCGGCCGGGCCGCTCGCGCCCTCCCTCCGCCTCCACCTCCCGGTTGCACAAGCTTGAAACAAACACTGGGGAGGAAGGGCGGAGGGAGGAGGGCGGAGAGGGGAGGCGAGGGAGGGAGCGCGGCCGGAGGAGGGCGGGGGGTGGGGGGATTTCCAGCCGCGGCTCTTCGCAGTTTCCTCTCCTTGTTTTGCTTTCGATCTGGACTGTTCTCAGGCAAGCCGGGGAGTAACTTTTAGTTTTGCTCCTGCGATTATTCAACTGACGGGCTTTCATTTCCATTTCACACACCCTAGCAACACTTATACCTTGCGGAATTGTATTGGTAGCGTGAAAAAAGCACACTGAGAGGTAACATTTTTCAAATAATAGTTGTGACTGTGCGTGTGTTTCTCTCGAGGGCATGTTTCTGGAGACTGGGGGGGGGGGGGCCGTGTGTGTCTGAGTGTCCTGATGGCTTGACACGGTGTTTTGCAGATGGGAAATGCCTTGGTTCATAAATATTAGTACCGGTTTTTGGAGGAACAGTCGGCGAAATTATGGGTCATCTGATTTTAGGGGAAGCAGGTTCTGCTGCTGTTGCTGCTGCCACTGGGGCTGCTGAGGCTGCGAGGAGGAGGAGGAGGTAGAGAGGGAGGAGGAGGAGGAGGAGGAGGAGGTCGGTGGAGGTTTAATTTCACTTTTGGATTTGCAGATGCGGAGAGGTGGCTCCATGGACACAGACCTGCTGTGTGTGCTTCTGCGTCCCAGGTGTTGTGTGTGGGGGTGCAGGTCCGCTGGAGTCGGGCCTCATTTAAAACAAAATTGTGTGTGCGTGTTTGTGTGTGCGCGTGTGTGTGCAGCTACCGCCGCCAGCGGATCCGAAAGAGGGGAGTGGGTCCTCCTCGGTGCCCGCGGCGGCGCCACTCCAGGCTGCCTCCAGAGTCCATCAGCAGGCACCGCCGCCCGCCCGGCTGCCCGCGCCCGCGCCCCGGCCGGGAGGGGCGCCTCCAGCCACCACCAGGGGAAACTTGCTGGGGCGCCCCGCGGCGGTCCCGGGGCTCGCCCGCCCGCCGGGCTCGGGGTCGGGGCGCGGGCGTCGGGTGCCAGCAGCCTGGGCGCGAGGGCGGGCTCCGAGCCGGGCCTGGCCGACGCGCCCCGCTTCCTGGGGGCTGGGCCGCCGCCGCAGCCGCTCGGAAGGGACGCGGCGTCCTCGTTCCCGCCGGCCAGCGCCCGGCCGGGCCCTGGGGCTTTGTCACTGCACTTGCCCCGGCGTGCAAGGGGCTCGGGAGGCGCGTCCCGCGAGGGCGCGGCGCCGCGGGGTCAGCCGCCCGGGCCGCGGCCTAGCGCCGAGCGCCCCCGGTCCCCGCAGGCGCCCCCGGCCCGCCTCGCGCGCTGGGCCTGACCCGCCTCGGCTACGGAGCGGCCGAGGTGGGGGCGGGGAGGCTCCGGGGACCGAGTGGCGCCGTGGGGGCCGGCGTCCCCTCGGGGTCCCGGGGCGGGGTGGGGACGCGAGTGCCCGCCCCGCGCCCTCCGACCCGGCTCCGGCCGCCGGGTGACATTCGCCCGCTGGCCGAACGTGGTTGGTGCAAAGCCGCGGCCGCCACTTCCTTTCCGCCTCGCCGGCAGGGCTCGCCCACCGAGTGAAGCCGGCCGCGGCCAATCGCGGCGTCCGCTGGCTCCCGGTGGCACGGCCTGGGGGCCGGCGCCCGCGAGGGCCGGGGAAGCCGTTCCAAGTTCCAAGGGTCGCGGGTGTAATTCCTGCCCCTCCCAGCGCGCGCCGGCGACTCCTGGGCCGCCGGTCTGGGTGCGTTTGCCACCCTCTCCTCCTTTACCCTAAGAAGCGGGGGAGGGGAAGGAGGCTGGCAGCCCGGGCTGGGCTGGAGGGCCGCAGCAGGGCACCAGGTGAAGCGCGGGTCAGTCTGTGTGGGCAGGACCCTGGCGATCGGCTGCGGGTGCGATCCCGGGGACCGGCCGCCCTGGTAGCTGAGACGAGCGAGGTGGCGTTCGCTCATTTCTAACCCGGTACTGTCTGAAACTTGGGGACGTCTTCCCCGCCCCCTCCCTCTTCAGCCTCCTCCCTCCGGTTGCTCCTTGTCCTTGGTTATGGAAGGAGAAAACGCAGTCGTTCTAAATGAGGAAAAGTGCTGCTGGCATTCGTCTTTAGCCGCCGGCCTCCCTGTGGCTGGGACTCGGTCTGCTTTTGATGAATGGCCAGGCGGGATGGAAGATAGTTAGATTTCCGGTTGTGGATTTTCAGGAATCGCCGAGACTGCTGTCAAGACTACAGTCATTTACTAGTTTTCGTATAGACTGCAGGTTTTCTTTGAACTGAGCAGTTCAGTTTTTGGTGCTTAAGGGCAGGGACACGCAGGGGTCTGGGGTTAGGCCAGGCGGTGGATGGTCATGATGCCAGGCAGATGCAGTTATCCCTACCAGGCCCCGAGGGTGACTCTGTTTAACTTCATCGTGCACACAGGTTCAGGATTCGCTGATTTCCCCAACTTTCCTTTATTCTTGTTTTAGGGGGAGAAGGGGCAAAAATATAAACCTAAAAAACCCTGGGAAAACGTGCCTTTTCTGAGGAAACTTCAGCAGATGGAATATTTAAGACTTGAACTGGCATCTCTAGGGGGAAAGTTGGAACATCTATTGATTGATGTGTCAAAGTCCGGAATTTCACTGTAATTACTGAACGATTATAACTTACAGCTTTGCCCGTTGTGTAAGAAATTAGATTTTGCTCTTAGATCCAAGAGTTCTTGTCTGTTATGATTTGTAACTGCTTGTTAAAATTAAACATTTACATATTTGATTCTCAGTGAGTTGTCATTTTTCTGTTAAAGAAAGTTCCAGTCATTTCAGGTTTACTTCCCTGTAAAAATGTCATCGTAATTAAAAGTAAGGATTTATAGTCAAACTGGAAGCAAACCAGGGCAGACACACACTCGACATGAAGTTCTAACAGCCTTGGGAACTATGGTCCCACTTTTGTCCCATTTTCTGAAACACTGTATTAGGCAAATAGTGTACCAGAGTGAAAGACGTTTAAACTTCCTGGAAAAGTGGAAACTTTGGACGTTTCACATTTGCTGTACCTCGATTTTTCTCATGTTACCAAGGATGTTATATTCTTAACATCATCTAGTACAAAACTCTTGTTTTAGAGCATTTTCACATAATACCCTTTTGAGAGTGAAAAACCACTGTACTCTAAAGTGTTTCGGTTCACTTATATGCCTTATATCAAAAAGGGCCTAATGCAGACAAGAGAATTTATGTACACACCCAAATATCCGTAGAACGTCTGTGGTCAGCCAGACACAGTGCTAGCCTGTGTACTCAACTGACAGGGAGAAAGACAGCTTCTTCACACGGCGTTCTACATAGTGACAGTGTTCTGTGTAGTGAGCTGACCACAAACAACAAAAAATACATTCAGTTATTACCTTTCGGGTTTAGCTGTAAGGAGGGTAATAATAATTCTTAACTATATCTCATAGTGTTGCTTTCATGAACAATTGAGATACTGTATATGAGAACATTGCATAAATTACGGCAGTCTTCAAATATGTGAGGCATTAACTTTCAAAATTTTATCAGATTATTCTTAATGTAAAAGGCCCAGATAATCACGACTGGATTAGACGCTGTCTTTCTCGTAGAATTTCCAGCAAGGAGGGATTTTACTTCTGAGCATATATAAATAATGATAAAAGATTAAACACGGAATAACTGTTTCATGTAAAGTATCAAGAAAATATTCAACAGTGAAATCGCGTATTGTCAGAGAATTCTTTCCTGTCAGAAGGAAAGTCAGGTGGTCTCCATGGAGACCAAATGATAGGGAAATAACAGTGATTGGACCAATATATTTTCCCTCTTTAGATCAGATTAGAGAATCTTCCCGAGCCTCTCTGTTTTAGTCTAACTCTTCTTCACTCTTGTGTTAGATCCTTCATTATCTGTCACTGCAGGTGTGCACTGGGCTGATTTTAGCTTTTCCCATGTTTTTTTTTTTTTTTTTTTTTCTTTTGCGACGATCCTGCTCCCACTGGTGGAGACACCAGAGTAAAATGCCAATAGTGGTATTTTGATGTGTATTTCAGATATTTTTTTTTTTTTTTTCTTTTGGTGAGACCGAGTCTTGCTCTGTCGTCACCTAGGCTGGAGTGCAGTAGTACAATTTCAGCTCACCGCAACCTCTGCCTCCCGGGTTCCAGCAATACCTGTGTCTCAGCTTCCCGAGGAGCTGGAATTACAACTGTGTGCCATCATATCGGGCTAATTTTTGTGTTTTTAGTAGAGATGAGGTTTTACCAGGTTGACCAGGCTGGTCTCGAACTGCTGACCTCAGGTGATCCACCCACCTCGGCCTCCTGAAGTGCTGGGATTACAGGTGCAAGCCACCACGCCCAGCCTGCTTTACCATCTTTAGAGAGACTTGGCTCATGTGCATTTAATGAATGCTTACTGTGTGCCCAACACTATATCTGTGACAACATATATGGAAGTAAATTTAACTGATAGTATATATTTATAACATATAATATATAAAATGCATAATATATGCAAGTAAGTGAAATTGTAGTGAAATGTCAGTTATTATTAGTAAAAATTATTCTTTTCATCTGTATGGGACACGATGTGCCTTGCTGCACAGGGGTAACGTCATGTTACCAAGAACATTATGTTTTTCTTCCTAACGTCATCTCATACAAAAGTCTGTTGTTTTTAGAGCATTTTCACATACTATCCTTTTGATAGTGAAAAATCACTTTACTCTAAATGGAGTATCTGGGTTATGCTTCCCTTATCTGCCTTATACCAAAAAGGGCTTAATGCAGACAAGAGAATTTATGTGGACACTAAATAAATATCCGTAGAACATCTATTATAAGCCAGACTCAGTGCTAGCGTCTGTCAGGACCTTCCGCCTCTGCCTGCTCCATTGGTGCCCTGTGTCTGGCCCGAGTGTGATAAGTGGTTGGTGCACAATGCCACGATGCCTAATGCATAGTTGAGGAGTGGCTCTGGTAGGGGGGGTGACTGATGGAAAAGGGGGTGAGGAGGTTCCATCAAATTTTATCAACAAAGAATGATGAATAATATAAAGGATCCAGAATGAACATGAAGCCAGTATTTTTTTATAGAGTACCAAGGAAAACACACAAGCAGGAAATCTAGCTCACAGGTCCCCCTTGTTCCCGGGACTCCATCTGGGGCTTTGGATTCAGAGCAAGCAGCAGGCCTGTAGTCTTGGCATTGACCTTCAAAGATCCCCTGAAAATAATTTTCCCCCTCAGAAGCTCCATCTTCTGACAAACTGTCTCTAAAACAAATTGTGATTATTTAGGAAGACTTCATGTACC